AACCACCAAAACACCAAAAAAAAAAAGATCAAAAAAAACAACAAAAAGCCCTCCCAAAAAAATCCACCCCTGCAGAAACATCGTGCAATGCCGGGAGCTGGCGGCAAGTCTTTGCCTACGGGCAGGGCAGGTTCTTTAGAGTTGATCTGCAATGCAGGCAATGTGAACTATAGGGTGCCGTCATGCAGAGTCCAACGGCTACCCCTTCACTTTCCTCGACAGTTTACCAAAGACTGCGAGTTGCCAGGAACTTTCTGGTCTGCGACTTCGCAATGCAAGACTTTTGTTGGATACTGGCATGGGCAACTGTGACCAACATGCTCCCAGCATCAGCCATGTAGCCCGGGCGACAATCATGTCAGCTCTACTGCCAAGACGTAATGCAAAAAGTAAGTAGCCTCGGGAGCGATAGACTGGTTCTAGCAATACTGGCCACGCAAGCATCATTGCAAGTGCCTCGCTCAAGGCCATACGGTCGGTGCAAAGACGTGGAATCGGAGCATGTAAATGAACAAGTTAATGCCTGTTGTACCTAATTAGAGACTGGACAGATGATGATGTTCCTTGCACACTTTTATCGTTCTGCATTGGTGTCTTACAGAACGTGGCTTTACGAAGCTTAGTCGTTTTTCGTGCCTGCGAGCAGGTTAGAGGTGGCACATAAGATCTCGCAAAACAACAGCCAAGAAGACCTGGATTGTCCGAGAGTGAAAGAATACAAACCCTGATCCCGAATCCGTTATTGGCCTTGCTAGGTCGGCGAGCGTGGGGATCGAATAGTCACTGTGACCCTGGCAGAGGGCGTGCGGAGTTCTCAGCTGTTTATCAGGAATTCTGGGTGGAATTCTTGGGATGCCGTTGCTGATTTGCGGTCCATCTGCGTCGAACAGTTCGTGAGTTCTGACGACAGCTTGTCAGAGTTTGCTGAGTGGACTCGCCGCCGTCTGTATCACTTGCGTGGTGGATGAGGCAGCGATGTTTTGGTAGATGCGATGTTGTAAGGACCTGCCGGCTCTTCATCCCGAGCGAGTTTCAGCACATGTTTTCCGAGGAGCGCATCTATCTCGTGCTCCTTGCATAAATTTTCCCTTTCATGCTGGAAGGACGAGTGGGGAATGTTCGCCCGGCCGGCCAAATGCGGCGAAGCGGCCTTTCCCGTTCTGAGCCTAGGCGCAGGGATTCGAAGTTGCACATACGTGTTGTGTTTTCTTTCCTAGCTTTGTGTTCAGCGTGACACTTTTCATTCCTGCGGCCAACTAGGTATCTGCAGGTTGTCAGTTTTCAGCTGAGGTGCTCACGCCATCCTCCGGACGTTCTGCCATTGATGAGGAAGTGGGGCTGCGCAGCCGCCATGGCTTTGGTGGCTTGCGCATTCCGAGCATCCGCGTGCAGCAAAGGTTTCAACAAAGAAGGACCTTTCGATTAGACTTCTCAAGCAGTGGCTTCGTCATCGAAGCTCTCACGTCGTGTCTTGGGCCGCGCATGCCAGGCTTGACATCACTCCCGGCATGGTCGACGAGACCTCGCCGTTGAAGTTCCTTCAGATTGTTGCCGCCGGTCCCCGAGAGATGAAGAGAAGCCTGGCACTAACACGATTCACAGATGGACTGGAGAGTTGGAGACCCTTCTTGGTGAGCCGGGCCGAGGTCAAGCCCTCCGAGGTGGAGAAGCACCTGGGATGAGAGCAGATTTCCCTTCGTTCTTGTGTCTCTGGCGCTAGTGGAGGCTGCGGCGGTGGTTGTTCGGAGGGATGGTGGCATCGGTCTGGCCTGGTCGTTGTAGCACAAGTTGTTGCCCTTGCTCGCGATGCTCTTCGAAGCCTGTCTTCTGTCTGTGCTCTGATGTCAGTGTCAATTGTAACCTCGAAGAGTCCCGATTCCATCCCCTGCGGACACCAAGTTATCGAATGAGCTCTCCATTCTTCGCTTCGGCCTCAAGGGGCTTTTGTGGATTGGAGAATTTGGTGCCATGATCGTCGCAGTTCCGCACGGAGAGACGATAGAAGAAGAAGCTTCAAGAGAAGAAGCCTCGAGGTTGTCATGGAGTTGCCGACCGAGTGCACAGACCGCAGCTCAGCCGGTGGTTTGCGCAAGTTGGGATAGCATCAGGGTTGGACCACCACCGTGACGACAAGTGTTTTCGTTGCTGACGGGGCATCTCAACCACAAATGTCCAAATCCCAGGACTTACCAAGGCTTTCCAACACAGGCACCCTTCCGCAGCATTATAAGTTCCCTCGGAATGCCAAGAGAGTCACTGCCGCCATGGCCACATCGCGCAGGTGCATCAGTAGCCGTTTGTTGTCGTGCCCAGGTGAATCATCCGTGCTACGGCAAACAACGGCCGGAGGCAGATGAAAAGTGTTGAGCTCGTGTGTCGATGTCCTTGTCGAATTCCCAGCCTCCTCATCCCCGTCTTCCTTGATGACCTGAGATGTAGGAAGCGGGAGTCCCTACACACTCTCATTTTGGAAGGACTTGGGCATCGGCTGTGCGAGGCACTGGATGGTCAGGCCCCATCTCGACCGTCAGGTAGGTTTGTGATCCTGAGCTTCGGCTGAATCTGTCAGATTGGCGGCTGCGCTGCGGATGACCTACGTGGAGCACCTAGGTTAGGCATTGCTCAGAATCTCCAGCAAGTTTTTGGCCAGTGAGGCTTTCTTCCTGGACGACACCGTGAGGTCTTGGCGTGGAGTGACTTTAGTGGGGCATCCCGGTGCAGCGAGAGCTTTCAGAGAAACGCTGGGCCAAGATATGATTGACGAGGTCGAGGATACCCAGAGCCTCTTCGGGGTACCGCCCGACAGCACCAGGGCCTCAGCCCGAGAGGCTCCAGTCGCGCGTTTGCGGTTTAAGGTTTGCGGGTTTAGGGGTTTAGGGTTTATATAGGGTTTAGGGAGCAGCCCATCCCATCCTTCCGAGGCGCGATTCACCCCAGTTCCCCTTGCCAGGGCTCGGGCCTCAGATTGGAAGTGAGCACCGGTGGCATCGGAATTCGGAAGCTTCGGCTTCATCGGACTCGGACCTGTTTCTCCGGCCAAAAAATTTTCGCGACCGTACCTAGACCTTGACATGGCTGTTCACCCTAGCTGACTGCAGAGAGTGATCTTGCTTCGGATCATTCTTGAAGCAGAAGGCAAGACCGGAACGCCGCATTATGCCATTTGTTCATTCAAGACCCGGGCCTGCCTGCATGCTCGCACTCACTCCTCACAATCGCAAGCAGGTTATGTCCTACCTCGCGGAGCCCAAGTTCCTCACAGAGGCCTATACAGGGCTTAGAGTAGAAGCAGAACCAACAGCAGCCGCATCCGCAACAAACGAGCCAGATGGATTTCGACGTGTCTGCACAGGACATGCCGGCATTCGCATCCTTCGGCTTCGCTAGGCTGGGACGGGCATACTAAAGTCCAGGGCTTGCAGCGTTTCATGCAGCGTCGGAGGATTCAGAGTATCCGGTCCTGGATCTTCGGGGCGGTTATGACGTGATGTTTGTTCTCAGGGTTCTGCGAAGGCTAAAGGCATCGCCGTTATTTTGGATGCAAATTCTGGAGTACTGATGGCAAACGAGAAGTTTCAGGAGTGGCAACATTCATGCCAAAAGGAGGACTGGAGCCAATGTCGGGACGGGACAAGCACAACGATGCAGCAAGACTGGCAATGACAACTCCTTAATGTAAACAGCGACAGCAGGAGCAACGCACGCTCACGATCAGCATCAGAGTCATACCCAGATCCATGACAGAATCCACCCAATAACGGTAGTACTGCAGAATCGCCTGAGAACTGTTTAGCTGCTTACAGTTTTTCCTCAGGGCTCCTTGACATGATTATATTCGACTTCTTTACCCCCAAATCCGCCTTAAACGCATCACTATGATAGCTTTGGCAAGTTTTTGTGATGTTCCCCAGGATGGCTCCTGAGTTCCTCGCCGTGCGAAGGGCCTTTTGCCCTCAGCTCAACCTTCGAGGTCAGTCTGGACCGAGCTCTGCATCTCTTGCTGCTTCAGAATGGACAAGCACTGAGGCCGCGCTCATGTTTACTCCGGATACCTCCTGAACATTTCGAAAGCTCAGCCCTGAGTCCTTAGTAAGACGGAGTTGTGATCCGGGATGTGAACATGGCCGCTGGCTGGCTTCCGAGATAGAGAAAGAGCGCCTGAACTTCAAGCAAAGCGCTCGGCAAACATCTGCAGACTTTCTGGTGTGGTGAGAGCTGGAGCAAGGCAGGAACAGTTCATCTGGGAGGCACGACACGTGCACTCGTAGATTCTTCTGCATTGGCCAACCCTCGAAGCTCGAGATGGAAAGCTTGCAGGACTTGGTCTTCAATTTAGACTGTCACGACGTGGTGAGGAGCAACCGCTTCGTACGCACCTCGGAGCCAAAAAAGCAATCTCCGACAGCATGGGGCCGAGTCGAGGCCATGGTGAAAGTTCCCTTCAGCAGCGGTGGCTGCTCGGCGCAGCTTGCTCGCAGCGACAAGGCCACCTTCGTCCGGGTCGGGCGCCCGATGGGTGTAGAGCCTGCAGCCAGAGCATGCCTGGGCCCAGCTTTCGGTCATTCTGCAAGCAGAAGACTCTCAAGGCTGAAAGGGTTCTACACGAGGTAGACAGCTTACACAGACGTCTGTGCCTTGACTAACTTACGCACACCCCTCTTGCCTCTTGCCGATGAGCACAATCATCTTGCATTGCTCGCCAGCCGAACACGCACCATGGCGCCTCCGCCTTCACAGACGGAGTCCAAGTTGGATGCCGATGCGTTTCCACCTTTCCGCGAGCTGCTTCAAGCATGCGAGGACGAAGAGTCGCTCAAGACTTCCCGACACTGTAAGTAGAGCAAGCTGAGCAAAGCAGGGGATGGGTTTACGAGTCGCAGTGCGACTAGCGAGATACCAGTACGTGTCGTTACTTTCGAACGCTTCGCGTCGTCCGCCTCGGCCCGGCCGCAAACAAAGAGGGCCAACGAACTGCTGGTGCCAATTTACTGCAGCTCGCCGTCATACGGAAAGACTGAAGGGATGGGATGGAAGACAAAAAACAAAAGAGAAGCGGGCGAGGAAAAACTGGACGGCGGAGGATAACAAGACGAGGCAAAGAAGGAATTAACGTGGAAAGCAGGTTCAGAAACTCGAGTTTGAAAGCGGGCAGGAAATGAAAACAAATGGGCTGTGCTTTGTGTCGAGGACTTTAAGCTTGCAGCGCATCGACGGCTGCCGCTCTCAGCCAGTGCAAGCAAGAAAAAAAAGCAAGAATGGCGGAAAAGCAGAAGCAACAATGGAGGGAAAGCGAAGCGAACGGGTGGGGGAAGGAACAGCAACGGGGAAGGAGGTTTGGGGTGGTGGGGCCGGGGGCGGAGGGGGGAGACAGACAGCCCAGATCCATTGGAGGAGGCGAGATTTCACCGCAGGACCTTCGGGCTCATTTATGGGTTCACACAGACGAACCCGGGGAATAGAGGGAATCCGAAAAGGAACCTCTGACCGCTTCGGCCGGGGCCGAGGCTAGTAAAAATAGTAGTTATTGTTATTGTGATTGTTATTCTTATCATTGTTATTATTTCTATCATGATTATATATTTTTTTAATTTTTTTATTGTTATTGTTATTATTGAGTTATTATTATTATTATTATCGTAAAGAGTAGTCGTAGTTTAGGTAGGACCCTCGGCTTCTGACTCAGGCCCATCTAGTCTAGACAGCCAGGTTTCGTTTTAAAGCTTTGGCCCTCGGAGCCATAATTTCTGCAAAATACCCAAAATCTTTTCCACCATTGGGGTCCAAAGGGCCGGCTGGCTCCTTATGGGCTGGCGTCCCTGCATAAGCGGTTTCACAAGGAACCTCAGGCCAATCCCAATAGCTGGGCCTCATCCAAAAAGCCTTGTGTTGTTTGGAAAGAATTGTTTCCCCGAAAACTTGGTCCGGGAAAGAACTTTTCTTTTTGCGGTCCCCCCCAGGGGTCTCAATAGCATGTTTACTTTGCACTATCGGGGCTCCCCAGACAAATCAACTCCTTCCATTGCATTCTCCCGAGCATGCTCACAGCAGCTACGTGTACTGTACATATAGACGGGAAACCATGGGACGTTCATGATCATGCGCAGTTAATACTGGTGGGCAGCTACAGACCGCACACTTTTTCAGCTTGACTGTCCAATTGCTGTTCGAATCTTCAGCTTCAGGCACAAAATCTGTCTTCGGTTATCTTTTGCACCTTTCAAGACACAGGAACTTGACATGTGACCCCCCAAATATACTACACAACACGAGCCCGCGCCCAACTCCCTGTGCAGGACTACGCCAACCTCAGCGGATGCCGGTTTCAAGCTTACGCTTTCGACGGCTCGCGCCACGGGTGCATAGTAAAGTTGGATGTCCAAAAACTTAAACCCTAAATCCCTAAATCCCTAAACCCTAAATCCCTAAACCCTAAACCCTAAACCCTAAATCCCTCGCCTGGCATGTCCGAGTTGTGAGAGCGTAAACCCTAAATCCCAAAACCCAAAACCCTAAACCCACAACTCTTCGATTCGTGAGCCACCCTGTGTTTTCCATGCATCCCGAGCCGGCCTAGCCTCGGGTTTCACATATATACATCTGTATACCCATACTTCTGTGTAGGCAAATGTGTATGCATGTATAATATGTATATATATATATAGTGTGTGTGTATGTATGTATGCATGCATGTATGTATGCACAGAATATATTTATAATTCTAAATCAACAATACGTACATACATATAGACAGACAGACAGACAGACAGACAGACAGACAGCCAGGCATGCATGCATCCATACATGCATGCATACATACAGACATACAGACATACAGAAATACAGACATACAGACATGCAGACATCCATACATACATACAGACATACAGACATACACACATACATACATACATACATACATACATACATACATACAAACAAACATACATAGCAAGAATAATGATAATAGCAAACCTAACGAATAGTACTGTCGCTTATTGCGGCTCCTAAGTTACACTGTTTCGGCAAATGAGGAAGCACTCCGGAACGCCGGCAACCAGTGCTTTAGAATGAAGGAGTCCTTGAAGGGATTCTTTGACGGTTCCGTCAAGGGTTCCAAAGCTTAGGGCTTTAGGGTTTCAGGGTTCGCAGGTTCAAGGTTTTAGGGTTGAGTCTTGATCCAAGGAACCCTGCAGGTACCTGTAAAGGAACCCGAGGAATTGCTCTAGGAGCCCTCATAGCAAGGCCTACTATAGGGGCCTCGATAATTGGGGTACACTGCTATGATCACGCGAGGAAAACGACAATCGTGAGACGGAACACTAAGGAATAAAATCCTAAACCCTAAACCTTAATCCCTAAACCGTCCTAAACCCTAAATCCTAA